TACGCGGTTGGCGGCTGCGTTTCGCCGACTCGATGATGGTGAACGGACGACACCCGTATGACACCGTTCTCCTTGAACACCCATTGTGTTATGGCTTTGGCTACCACTTGATTGCCAGATTTCTCGTATCTTTGACCATCTGCAAGCAATTGATTTTTTTTTTAAGCCTCATAGATATTTTCAATAATCAAGTAAAAAAGTTTAATTAAAGAGATGGCGATTATTAAGAAATTTCAAGAGATAAATAAAAATATTTTCTTTTTGTTGCTACAGAACTTTATATACTTTTACCTTGTCCCTTTTGAATAGGACTGGTAAATGCTTCGTCACTGAAGAAAAACAGGGAGCCCGAGAACAGAACTCGGGCATTATTTCTTGCCTGTAGAGCCGCTATTAATAAAGTATTTTTGCCAACACCATGTGGATACTCTTTGATTGGTTGATCTGGATAATAGGTATATGCTGAAGTAGATGCTGATAATAAACGTAAAATTAAAGGATTATCTGTGTCCGCGATTAATCCGGTTCCTTGATATAGCAATGGGGGGATGTTCTTGCTTCCAACAATAATTGGAGCATCTATTAGATTCGCTGGATCTGCTACTATAGTAGTGTGTTGACCACTGTCAGAAGCATCATAGTTCATATGATCGATTACAGTGGAGCCTTCCTCATCTACCTCTAAGCCACATTCCGAAGCTAATTCATGTACAGCGTCGCCAGAATGTGAGGAGCCAGCAAGCAGTACGTTTCCGCCATTGTCTATAAACTCTGTTATGGCGTCTACACTCAAAGCACCACCAAATTCTTCCACCGTAGGTGCAAATATTATCAGATGTTCATATAAATATTCGCCATATTTGGAAAGCTGCAAAGTTGAATCATCAGCTGACTTGAAAGTTAACGTATACCCATTATCTGTAACAATTTTGAAACATATTACTTAAAGTCAATGCTATATTTTTCCACTTAATTGCTCGTATTTTATTAAATTACTAGAAATTATGCATTCTAGACTGTTCTCACTCAAATGCTACCCAAATATCATTTTATCCTTGTTTATCTGGAGAACATTTGGACAGGAATCTGAATGTGTTCCTGTGTGGTGCAATTATAGTAATTTATTAATTTATATAACACAAGCAATCCAGTAAAAGAAACACACATTGTATGCTGCTGGGTTATTACATTAATTCTGTCAAATTTATTCAATTACTTCTTAATAAGTGTCATTAAAAATTTTATATATATACATATATATATAACATTAAGTAAATAAGTAAATAATATTAAATAATGTTAACTACATTAGATTGCATGGATTTAGAATACCTCACCTAAAATTTTAATAAAAATATACTTATTCGACGCGTTTTCACTCAAAACAAAAGAATCCGGCAGAAAAACGTGGCGGTCGGCCTCGTGCATCGAGTTATTAAGCGTTAAAGTTCGAGATTTTACAGGAGATTACACTTTAGAGATTGCATTAGCAGTGAATTTGTGTTTTTAAAGCAGTGAATTTATGAATTTGTGAAGCAGAGAATTTGTGTAATTAATGCAGAACGTATACATAGTACTATATCGAACCGGGATGACAGATATCTTAACCTCTAAAATGTCGAATTTCAACGCTTGACAACTCGATTCACGAGGCTGACTGCCGCGTTTTTCTGCCAGATTCTTTCGTTTGGAGTGAAAACGCATCGAATGAATATATCTTTATTAAGATTTTAGATGGGGAAAAGGGAATATTCCAAATAACTACCAAAATTATATGTAAGAATTTTTACTCTCAATAAAATTAATTTTAAAATAACATAATATATTCATCTTATTTGATAAATATTGTACGTTTCTCGAGAAGATTGAAAACGATTGGATTAATAATTGACATTTTGGCATGATCTCAGAGTACGAGTGGAAAAAAAATGGAATAGACCGAAACATTTATTATTATTCTCTACGCCCTCAGACGTAATTGATATTCTGCACATATGTACATTTAACGTCCACGATAATGTATAATGTATAATATGTGAGAAACATTGCTAAAGACACCTGCCAACAATTCGAACGTCAGAGACGGTTAGAAAAACAAAGTGCGAATACCCTGCAACATCTTGAAGAATATTGAATGAGTCTCCTTGATAGCCAGATTGTCAAGCAGGACTAGGATCGGGCCGCCGGCATTCGAGCCGGCAAACACAAGGAACAAGCAGAATAACCATCCTATGAGTCTCATCGCGCACCAATTATGATGAAATATTTGCCACGATACACGCCGATGTAGTCGATCGGCCGAACGTCTTCGTTAATAAAATAAGCAGAGATAAGCCTAAAGGCCCGTCTACAATACACGGAGTAAGAAGTAAGAGTAAGAAATTGACCAATCACAGTCGATTATTCTTCTCACATTTGACTGTGATTGGTCAATTTCTTACTCTAACTTCTTACTCCGTGTATTGTAGACGGGCCTTAAGGCGCAGGGTGTATTCCACAATACACGATTTCTGATAGGTTGAAATTCTTATTATCTGTTCTCTGTTCCTTGTTCCCCCTAAGGCTCTGCGCACAATGGAGGAAATATTAGGAATAGGAATAACTATTAAGATTTCAACCTATCAGAAACCTTGAATTCCGGTGTAACTGATATCTGGTAGATTGAAAATTTAATGCATAGTTCAGATTGGACGCAGTAAGCGTCAATCAGTGGAACAGCAACCAATCAGCGAGGCGATATTTTTTACGCCACTGTAAATATCGCCTCGCTGGTTGGTTGCTGCTCCGCCGCTCAACGCTTGCGGCTTGACGCTGCGTCCAGTCTGAACTAGGCATATTTAAGCCTGCAGCACACGATGCTTGTTTTCCTGCTGAATTGCTAGCTGAACATTAGAATTTTGCCACCGTATTGGCTACGATACTGGCACTGACAACACCGCAGCCAATACGGTGGCAAGATTCTAATCGAGCTAGCAATCCAGCAGGGCTGCGTTCAAAAACATCACCCGGGCTCCGTGTATTATCTTATCCTTGTTTAACACTGGAGTGAACAATAAAGATAATACGATACGCGGGGGCACTCAGGTGACTCAGGTGATGTTTCTGAACGCAGCCCAGGAAAACAAGCATCGTGTGTCGCCGGCTTTGTTCCTAATATTTGTTCCTAATATTTACTCCATAATAGCCCTTCTATAATAAGACGCAAGTCAGAAGTTCTAAGCGATCTTAATTTATAATCGGTGAAGTGGCTAATAGCCAACTTGAACGACTTGGTACCGTGGCAGACGGCCATTTCTATCTCTTTCCATTCAATGGTGTAACGGGAGAGAGAATAAGAGGGAGATTGGCCGTCTCCCACGGTCCCTCTCTCTCATTATCGTCGATCACATTTGATCACATTTGATATACTACTTAAGATACGGATCGCGCAGTCCATTCTCTATGTCTTTGGTTAAGACTGGTTGATACTTCTGACGTTCTGACTTGCGGATTATTGTAGAAGACCCATAACTTTTAAAACCTTGTGTCCACTACTTAAGCCCTAAACACAACGCGAGGTAACAGCGATAGTGATGGAAATAACGACAGCAATAGCGATAGCGATAGGAACAGAGAAATCCAACATTCGGAAATGCATATGCCAATGCACATAGGAACATAGAATAAGGTAATAGCGATAACTTTACAAATTTACAAGTGGCTCGCAAAATACAAATATAAAATACAAGGAACATTCAGCCACAGGCAGGACGTTTTTTGAGAATGTTATATATATTTAAAATTACGTTAACAATACAAAATTCATATACGTTTCGGCTTATATCAGGCCATCTTCAGGCAATAGCGACAAATTTCCGACAAATTGGAATTCTGTGTCTATAGCTTTACAGCTTATATAGCAATCAGCGTTCAGATTTCTCTTTCTATTTATATCCCACACAGCACAGGCAGCTCCCAGAGAGCTCATAAAATTTTTGTGAGCTTCATTTAAGCTTAAAATGAACTCGCACGGAACTCCCCGGGAACTCCTATGTCTGCTTTTGTAAGTTCCCTTTTGGGAGCTCTTTTTAAGCTCGTAGGAAGGCTCGTAAAATTTTTTGTCTAAGCTCAGCATTATGAACTCCCTGGGAGTTCATTTTGTCGAATTTTATAAGCTCCTCGAGAGCTCAGTGAAATGAACTCCTAGGGAACTTTTTTTGTTGAATCGTGTAAACTCCACGGGAGTTCAGCATTATGAACTCCCTGGGAGTTATTTTAAATAAATATCTTAAAAGATGGTCTCTCTCTCTCTCTCTCTCTCTCTCTCTCTCTCTCTCTCTCTCTCTCTCTCTCTCTCTCTCTCTCTCTCTCAAAATTGAAAATACACATATGGGAAAGAGAAAGAACGAGCGAATAAAATGTGTTAGGGGAAAGGAAGCAGTAATGGGTGAAAGAGAGAACGCAACTACATTTGGCTACAGCGGGATTGGAGAAAGAAAAAGCACACATGTTGGTGGATCCCTTCCTCACTGATCCCACGACAACGCACTTCTCTTTTCCTTCCACGGATTCTGCGTCTGTCGGACATGAAATCGGGAGCGATGCACTTGCACACAGTTCAATTGCACACACCACTCATATCGGCCTGTTCTTAGTAATTTTTCACTGCTTCACTAATGAGATTATATTATTTTAAATTAGCCAATTAGTGATGCGGGCAATTGATATACACCCCATGAAATTCCGCATGCCTCTTGAGAATCCCTTGCCCCTCTACCCCCCTTGGAGCTACAGAAATAGAATCGGCTCTATTATGTTACTGACAGTAAAATAAAAAAAAGTAAAACAAGTTTAAATAATAGCTAAATAACAATTATTTTCAGCATTTTATTTTTAAATATATAAATATATAATTAATCTCTTATTCTTATAATATTTAAGATAATAAGTAAGAATATATTTCATAATTATTTACTGACACGAATAATAAAAATATTAGCAACATGATCAGATTATGATTTTCAAGCAAAATCATGTTGTTCTGCCCAAGCTGGAAACTCACCGATGCCATAAATAAAGGCTCCCCAAGTAGGGAATAGGATAACTTGCACTATTAAACTGTACATAGCGGGGAAACATCCGACTGCTATTAGTATTCGAGTTTGTAAATGACCCGCGACAGTTATAATTGCATTTGGCGGCGTAGCGACTGGCATTCTGAATGCGTACGAGCACATCAGAGTCACTGGCATCATTAGATATAATGGATGTATCTTCATCGCCACACACTTTAAGAAACAAACAAAAATGAATAATAATCGCAATTTTGACGAGGAAATACTTGCGAAAAAAATAGAATAATTGTAAAAGTCACGTTTCTTAAAATTTATTCTAACGATCGTTGAACGGAAGCACAAAATTCAGATGTAGAAAGGTAAAACGAAACGTAGGAAAGTTATAAAAATGAACGAAAGGTAAACATGTTTGAAGATAAGGATATTATCACTTCATTTTTTCTAAAATTTACAAAGTAATCTCTCCTAAAGTTGTTGACAATTTATACTGTTATAATATATTTTATCATTGGACAAATTCTTACCATGTGAGCGACGACAGGTAGAATTATATTAGCTGTACCAACGTTTGAAGTAAATTCCGTCAGTGTGCCAACGAATAAAAGAACAACGGCCATCATCAGCACAGGAGGTAATTCTTTCAAAGGCACCAAAGCTAGTCCTATCTTCATGGCAAGTCCTGAGACACTACTGCCTTTTGAGACAGCAAAACCACTACCTAACAGAAATACCAATCTCCACGGCATCTTTGTCTGAATGATCTGCCAAGTAATCAGACCCTCGGACGATCTGGCCACTCGTCTGGATGCTGTCATCATATAAAATTTCATGAGCACTAACATAAGATTTATATAAAATAGAAACAGACAAATCAAGTAGCAAGCCATTCCTCGCTTATCTTTTAGAAGAAATTAAGTCAGTAACTTGCTACTTATTCGTGTTTCAAGTTCATACTTGGCTTCGTAATTGTAAAAAAAACTCTTACGGTCGCTGCTGTAAAAGTGTAAAAAAATCGGCTCTTTTGGGATGAAAAACATTAACAGGCATACAAAGACTGCGGGCGTCGAATCCGCCAACATTCTATATAAAGATTATGCTTGAAATGAAATACGAGTTCATTAAAAGGAAATATATTTATTATAATTTAATTAATTAATTATAATTATAATTATAATTAATAATTAATAGGTAAATTCTATTATGTCAATTTTGAAGCGATTAAAGATGTACAGAATATTTGCTTTTACCTTATTTAATTCTTCTAATTAAACAATTATATCTTTTACATATCTAAATTTTTAGACTTACACGTCCGTTAGAATTTCTGACCATCCGCGAACGAATCCAGGAGCTCTAAATATCCATAGAAATATACATCCCGTAAAAAGTATTGCAACGGAGATTTCATGAAATGTCATAGGTCCTAGATTTTTAAGGTTTTGACTTATTACCTACGAGAATCAATACATTTTCTTATCAAAAAATCGATTTGCAAATAAATTTAAAATAAAGAGAAAGAGAAAAAGCAACCTTTCTTAGTTAATTACACAATTAAATTTGCCCTAAAGTAATCGTTCTTTGTCATTTTTTCTATTGAGAATGTTTATTCAAAAATTTTTTAAATATGCCATAATATTGAGATACCCCTTCTACTGGCAGCAATCACGCGTCGCACACGCGATCGTGTATACGCACATGCAAGTCGGGTTGTAACGCAAAGCGCTGGGTATGCTGGGCCGGAATTAAATTAATTAGTGACTTCTGTTACACGGCACGCTTAATCGGGTTTAATAATATCCATAATTATGAAATTGGGCAATCGTACGTAACACAGTGAATCGTTTCATCCTTGTTTAACATAGACAAGGACGTAATGAAAGGAATACGTAGCATTTGAGTAAAAAATTATTCAAGACCAATATTCGGCAATTTTTAGTAATTAATATCTTATTAACTATTGTGAAAATTGCAAAATGGTAGAGGACTTTTCGACTCAATTTAAGTCTGCTCTATCTACACAAAAGCGCTTGGAAAAAACTTACGGGACACACTATATTGAAAAAGCCTAGACATTCGTGAAATGCATTATTATATATTCTTTAACTAGAGACAAACAAAATGCATTAACATTTTTAGCAATTGTTTAGCAATTTTATTCAACATTTTACTTACTGATTAGCTTCATTGTTATTTTCTGTAAAAATAACAATAAGCGTAGTTTTCTTATAGCTTTCTTTCTCGTTTTCTGAAAATTATGAATTTTGAACAAAACGCATTTTGAAAGTCTGCTCCTCATATGAATCATATTTGGAGGAAAACTGTCGAAGGATATCTGTCGAACCATTCTGTGATTACCAATCGTAGGATGCATCATAATCATAAATTTGATTAGTCTAGAACGCTGAAATTCTGGATAGAGAAAAATTCTATCACAAACGTTTTATTTCTGAAATTGTACATATCAAACGTCAAAGCAATGGTCTTAATTTAAAAACAGATACAGAGGGTTTATAAATTGGGCATTCTATGATTTAGTTAACTATCTATAGTTTATGTTGATATGGAGTAACCTACATCATCATAATTCGTTATTTTATGTACATGTTGCCACTTTGGTTTGACCTCTGACGAGCTTACCAACCTATTTTATTAATTATGACATTCTTCGATCTGGTTCATTTAATTGTTAATGATCCAAAATTTTATTGTTTTAAGCATCTTGTCGTCACAATGGAGGTAAGTCTATTGCACACTGGATCGAAAGAAAATTTTCGTTTTATATTCATTATAAAACATAGATTGATATTTATCTCTCCCTTGGGCGACGTGATGCGACATAAAATTTGATGATGTAAATGCGGTTATATTATGATCCTTTGTAATTTTTTTAACCGTTTGAGTGTAATACTATGTTGAAGATAGCTCAAATCTAGAAACTGAAACGTTCATGTTATATTATATTGATTTATTATCAAAATCGGTGTTTTTGTTGATTTGCGCACTACTTTCGCGCTGACTCCCATAGCCCATGTTGTTACATTGTTTATAAAACTATAAAAATAAAAATTATATAAATGCATGCCAAGTACAAGTTTCAAGCTTCAAAATGCTGATTTATTTTTTATCTACGGTGAGTTTCAACGATCTGAAGTTGTACAAAGTGAATTTGATGAACTGAATTGTATATACAAATTTTTAGCATTTCCAAAATGTTTCTCACTTTTTATTGAGCAGTGTATTTTATTATTTATTCGATTGATTACAAAAAAATGATTCTATGTACTATAACTCTATAAACAGATGATATCATACTTGATTTGCGATGGCCTCGCCTTCTACGCCAATTCTTGCCATTTCAGCATCCTTGCTACGTGGCCTCAGGTATCCCAAAAAAGTGATTCGCAGATACAACCATAATATAAAAGAATTAGTGGCCATTTGCGGAATCGAAGCGGCCATCCAGTTGCCAAAAGTGATTGGATCAGCAGCAGGGAAATTGTATTCGTAGATGCCTTTAAAGGCAAGATTCGTCGGTGTACCTACAATCGCTCCGGTACCGCCAAAGGACGAGGCATACGCCGCCGCAAACAGATAAGCTTTCGTTAAGTTTGTCGGTTTTATATCCCTAAAGAAAGAAATTCTTTTTCGACGATGTACTGTAAAATTATCTTATCATCAAGGCTGACTGTATAAAAAGAAACTTTACTAAAAACTACGACCCGACTCGATCGTTACCCGATCTAATGCGACCTGTATTTTCGGGTATCCGCACAGCCCTAATTACTATAGTTTTATCGGGATTGCGTTTTAAAAATTCCGAAAAATCATTTCGATGGGCAATTTTCATGGTGACGTATATATGTATAGTATTGAATTATTTAAGTATTTATGATTCAATTTTGACCATTAATTTTAAAGTTTATTTAATACTCACGGTTCAGCTTCAGGATCCTCTGGATCTTTCTTTATATCAAACACTTTCCCAAGTCCTTGCTGTAAAAACAATAAAATTATAGATTTTAAACAAGACAATAAATTAGTATTTAAAGATATAAATCCAGTACAAGCAAATGCCTAAAGAACCAATACTGTGTAAAACGTGTGTATGTATCAATTTTGTTAAATAAGCATATAAAAATAAAATGTTATGACTTACATTTGGGTCATCTTCTACAACTATAATTGTCATAAGTAAAATATCATCAAACGTATATTATCGCATTCTAACAATATGTAGAGATGTGATTATGTATAATCAAATTTTCCTTTCTAGGATTATATTAAAATCTCATCAATTTATGTCATAGCGAATCTATTATATAGAATTACATGTGGACAGCTCGTAATATAGACTTTAATTGAATCAACGGTATTTTTTCCCAATCAACCAAAAATACTTCGAAGCATTTGTAACATTAAGGCTCAGTTTCACAACTGACGGTTAATTCTTAATCGAGGTTCATTATCTATCGTTAATTATGTTTTATGTTGTACTATATAATCTGAGTAATGAAAATACAGTAACTTGTATAATAATACTTTTCAAGTGCACCGACCCTCTCCAATTCACGGAGTACAGCAAAGGCAATAGGTACCATCATGGCGGTAGCTGCTGCGTTCGCGATCCACATGGATATAAAAGTAGTCACTGTGCAAAGGCCACCGAGCAGTTTTGCATGGCTGCACCCGAGCATCTTCATTACGATCAGAGCAATCCGCAGATGCAAGTTACAATGTTCAGTGGCAATAGCGAGTATCAAACCGCTAATAAATACCATGATGGTATCATTCATGTAGCAAATGCATGTCTCCTGAGTACTAAGAATACCAAATAGTGGAAATAATACTACAGGTATTAATGATGTGATTCCTATCGGTAGACATTCTGTCACCCAATATCCAGCTACCAGCAGAACAATATAGGCACATCTAACTTCCTATGTAATAGAGATTTAATATAACGAAAATATATAATATTAAAATTATATTAGATAAATATTGACGAAAGGGGACTCAGCTCTAATGACCTTGACCTTGACAAATATTGTCAAGGTCATGATCTTGAATGATCTCCAACAAGTTTTAGCCGTCACTTGTTATTCGTTAAAAAGTTATTAACAGTCAACGTTAGTAATTATTTCCCTGCTTTACATGAAGAGTCAGATAACTTTAAACGGGGAGAGATATGAAGGGGATAAATTCAAGGAATACAACTTTTCACGCGAAACGACTTTCAGCCCCCCCCCCTCCCCCCTACCAAGAGGCCT